TCCCAGGGAAGCGGCAAGTGTCCTAAAACTGATTCACCCCCTCAGCACGATCCCGATCGGTGTTTCTGGTTTGTCAAAAGACTTTACTTTTTCCTGCCTTGATCACAGTGTCTGTTTCTCTCTCTTGTCACACAGGGGCGAGGACTGTCCCTCAGCAGATTTAGCTGGGTAGGTGACACGCGCATGTCCACGCGGCTGCCTCTCCTTCCTGCTCTCACAGCCACCCAGCTCCTGCGCTGGGCTCCGTTCCTTTGCCTGACGGTCCCCTTTCTTCCCCTTCAAGCCCGCTGGCCCGGCCATCGGGGGGCCACCTGCTTCTCCCGAGGGGAACCCAGTGCTGGGCCGCTGCCCCCTTGCCACGCTGGAACTGAGCCCCTCCCCGGGAGGGTGCGGCTCCGTGCTGGAGGGATGGGAGCACAGGGGATGGGAGACGAGTCCGCGTAGCGCTGGCCGAGGGAGGCCCCGCGGCCAGAGGACTCTCCATGGCCACCCCTGCCCCCCCGGGGTTGACGCCTTGTTGAGGAAACACGACGCTGCCTTCGGTTACACACTCACAACAGCCTAACTGAGCCACGAGATGTGGGGTTTGACTATAGTGTGGTAACAGCCACAGCGTAGGTATGGCCCCTCCAGAAAAAGTCTTTTTGAGGAACTTTGGGCTTTTGAATACTAAGAACAAAGTGTCAGTGAAGATTTCCAACGGCCAGCTTGCCCGCCTTCCAGATACCAGTGAACTTTGTGTCTGTGCCAGCCTAGAATGGCTGTTGGTAGAGTCTAACCAAACCCACAGACTCCACTCAGTAGTCATGGTGGGTAGAGTTCTTACTTGACAAAAGTTGTGATTTTTCGGGATAAAATAGAAGAAAAGCCACTAACCTACAGGCCGGGAGTCATGTCCATCCTGGAAACACCTCCTGATTCTCTAGCACAGAGCCCACCTCTACTTGGTGCATAATTAAGAAGCATCATATAAACAAAGGGATAAATTTTAAAAGAAAGAAAGAGAAAAGGAAGAGGGAAGAAAGACCAGTAAGGAGGAGGGGAGCGAGGGGGAGGGCGAGGCCCGCAGGGGTAGGGGGGTTCCACGAAGCGGCTGCCTCGTCCGATGCATTCTTACGTTGAATTACACGCAGATATTTGCCGCACCATTTTACAGGAATATAGTTGAGCCTCTTCCTAAGCTAATCAATTTGCCAAAAAGGTGACACAGTGTAGGACTGTCACATGGGCTGACCCCGCAGCCGATTGACACTTGACTTTCTCTGCCAGCAGGAGACAGACGACAATGGAAGGACGAACTCTTGTTCCCGTAACTCCTTGGTCTGCCCCCCGACTTTCTAGGCGTGGCCTCCCGGGCACTGTCGCAGCCAGTGGCCGGGGCAAGAGGACCTCTGTCCCTCTGGGCATCCCCCGCACACTCGGCCCAACAGCTGACCGAAAGGACCTTCCCTTCCCTCCACATCTCCCTTCCGGCTCCTACTAACGTGTATTCAATTTCTCTTTTTTCCAAAGCAAGATGCTTCCACGTTTTTCCTTGGCTTGTCTGTTTTCTCGAGCCACAGGACTGTCTTCCCGCTTGGAGTTTCTGAGTGTCCCCTATTCTCTTTCTAAACTACACTGAGTGTTTCTCGGTAAATTCTAGGTTGCCTAAAGACATAAGTGACCCAGAATTTGAAAGGAGGAAAAGTCAAGCAGATTGTTAATCTGAGAACCTATGCTTGAATCTTGTCCTCGCAAGCTTTCATTTTCGGGGAACAGCGGCAGGGACGGGAGGATTTAGCCCTGGCGTGTGGGGTGCGGTTTTCCGCCACGTCACGTGTCTGTGCTGGGCTCTGCACGCTTTAGCCATCCGCCTGCCCCTCCGTGTGCGGCCGTGCGGGGAGCACGTCCGCGGAAACGTCTGGACCCCGGGGCAGCGCCGCCACAGCCCTGCCTGACCCCGTCTCCGGCACCTTTGAAAGCAAGACACAGATTGCATGGCTCCCCCGTCCCCTCCAGCCCTAACGCGTTTGTGAAAGTCGAAAGGACAGTAGGCCGAGGCACGGGGTCCTGGGGGCTCCATCAGAAGACGGTTTTGTCCCGTCGACTCGATTCCTGGGGGGCGGGGCACGGAGTCTCCCACGTCCTGTTGGCACGACGGTGAAACCTCGGGGCCTGTCCGCCGAGGACAGAGCCGGGGGGCTGCCGGCGACCTTCCGCCGACACCCAGAGGCTTACTTGGCCCCCGTGTCGCACCTGAGGCTGGAGCGTGTGCCACGAATGCCCACTCACCGCGTCTGCACACCCCGAGCCCCAGCCCCTCCCCGTGATCGCAGAGGAAAGTCAAGCACGTCGGAAAACAAGCTGGTCGTAGGGACACAGATATTCTTAGCCGTCAGCGGCCACTGCCCTGTGCCACAGACCCGGAAGTGAGGAGTGAGGGGGGCCGCTGGGGGCTGGAGGCAGGGGCTGGCTTCTCCCTTCATGACACGCCGTGAGCCCACAGGCTCTGTTCACAGAGCAGAGCCTCCTGACCACCCCATAAGGAGGGGCCGTTTATCCCCATTTTATAGAAGAGGAAACTGAGGCTCAGAGAGGTTTTGACACTTGCCCGAGGTCACACAGCTAGGGAGTGGAGAGCTGAGACCCCCAGGCTGCGCCCTGGTGCCTGGCTTGCTGGCCGGCCCCGCCCCATTTCCTTCTTCACGACCGGCCGAGATCCCAGGGTCCCCAGGAGGGTTCTGGTCCTGGCGCCACACATCGGCGCTCAGGGACCCAAGCCATGGCCAGGGGTGGTGCTTCCTGGGAGAGCCTCCTCGAGGCCAGAGAATGTGGATCTTGTCTTTGTGCTTTAGAAAAAGTCTGAGCCTCAAAATTTTGCAGAGTGCTAAGTGCAAAGCTCTGCACCCTCCGGGCCTCTAGCAGGAGGGGGCAGGGGTGAGGGGTCTGCACGAAGAAGCAGGCAGGGACCCCGCCACCCCCTCCCCACACCCAGGACAGGTGCCGGCCCTCCCGCAGACTCCTTTCCAGGGACACGAGCCACCCCCTTCCGCAGACGTGGGGGAGAAGGCTTTTGCTTGACGCGCTGCACTTCTCTTGAAAGCCACACGGTGTGAGGAAGGGATCTAGTCTTTCAGTGACAGCACTTGGGTGCACGGCTCCTCACGCGGGGGCCGGGGCTGGGCCAGCGCTGCAGTGAGGAGCGGGGGAGTGCTCGGTGCTGGGGTCTCCCCGTGCCTCGCCTGGCCCCGCAGGCGCCACCCTGAGAGCCGTCTGGTCTCTTGCAGGGAGCCGAGGGGCAGAAGCCGGGATTTGGCTACGGGGGCCGAGCTGCAGCCCACAAGGGATTCAAGGGGGCCGACGCCCAGGGCACGCTCTCCAAAATCTTCAAACTGGTAATGTAGCCCCTCTTAACGTCAGGGGTGCGTCGGGGTTGCGGGTGGGGGGCCCTGGGGCGGCCTGCAGCCTTTCCACACCGCCTCTCCCACGGGGCTAGCTTGCCAGGCTGGCCGGTTCATCGGGCCTTCTCCAGGCTTATGTGAGCAAGCCCTGGGCTGGGCCGGGCTCCCTCGGGGGCCTGAGGACACGCAGAGGGTCCCATGTGCCCAAGGGAAGGAGTAGGAGCCGAGTGAACAGAGGGGAGGTCACTGCATCGGGCGGAGCCCCCCAGAGGCCACACGGGGGTCAGCCGCACTGGCTGATGTGGACGCTGGAGTCACAGGGGCCACCATCTGTTAGCGCCTGAGCTCAGCAAGGCCCGGACACCGGGACGGGACTTGAGGAGACAGAGTAAGGACAGCAGGCGGTCAGAGAGCCCTGCAGCCCCCTGCTCTGGGCTGGGATCCAGACCGCCACCTGCCCCTGGGTTGTGGGAGGACCCCGTCTGGCCTCTGTTCATTCCCGGCCCCTGTCGTGGCTCACGGTCACGTCCCGGGTTCACTGTCGGTCCCGGAGGGCAGGAAGAACATTGCCGTGAACAGGCTGTAACTGCCTGGGAGCCGGACGTCCGAGGGCCTCGGCCACGGGACCCACCTGATGGCAGCCGCTGTCCCCGGGGGTGGGCACAGTGACTGGTCTGCGCCCCCAGGGCTGCTCCCAGCGCGGGCAGGCCGTGAGCCCACAGTCAGGGGCCCAAGGCTGCCCAGGCATCCCATCCCTGGGATGGGACACAATTCTCGTCGGGCTCAGGGACTCGTTGAGCATTGCCGTGTGCTGTTGGGGGTCCGGGACTGTCCCCCCGCACAAAAGAATCCACGGCCTCCCAGAGGAGCGGGTTCTCATGGTGGGGACGGAAAAAGATGGGTGTTACAGGGAAGAAGCAGGGCAGGGCCCACGGGGGGCACGGGCCTCCGCGCCCCAGAGAGCTGCTCACGGCTCCAGGGAGAGAGCCCCACCAGGCTGCAGGGCTGGCCTCACACCCAGGGGTTCCCGGCTGAGGGGAGACCACGGGTGAGGCATGGGGCTCCCCCCACAGAGGGCCCTCTGACCTCCCGAGGGCTTTGTCACTTGGGTCCCATGACACCTACACTTTACGTGTGTGTGTCGAGGGGCCAGCCGTGCGGGTCTGGCAGAGACCTGTAAGAGTGGGGCTGGGGTGTCCGCGGCACCCATGCGGGGTCTTGGTGGCCGAGCCAGCACTCGAGGGCCCGCAGCTGGAAAAGGAGAGGGGCGACCCCAGCGGGGATGCATCGCCCCTCTGGGCAGTGCGGGACAGTCCCCAGGCTGACTGAAGGCCCCGGGAGCACCGTTCTCTGCCCGGTGTGGTCACACTAACTGTCGTTAGAGTAGCACCACGAGCCCGTTTCCACTCTGAATCCAGACGAGGCCGTCCCCTTCCTTGCTTGATGGCACCAGAGCCGGTTCTGAACAACCAGCCGCGAGTATTTGCAAGGCGGCCCAGTCCGCCCTTTGTCCGACCTGAACAAGTGTGATGCCCGCACGTAAAAGACAGGGCTCCTGTGTCACGGCAGGAAAGGCATCAGAAAAGGCGCAAAACCCCACGATGCCCGCAGCGCCCTGCCGAGAGAACCACAAATCGTGAAAGATTTCACTTTTATCTTTCTCGGGTGAAAGAAAGGTGAGCGAGCGTTGCTGTAGAACACAGAAGACGTGGTCGCCCCAAGGAGGGTGGGGGGATGGTCTGGGCTTGGTTCCCAGACACCAGCACGGGCGCACCTGCTCCGTCCGCGCTCGTCCGCGGCGTCCAGCCATCGCAGACAAAGCATCCCGGGTTCTTATTCCACATGACGGCCTCCTCACCTTGTGTCTTCAGGCCAGTGGTCACGTTCTGGGGGAGGCGTGTGTTTCCACGGAAACTGCACGTTGTCGGTGTTCTTGGTCGCGGATGAGAACAGGGGGTCGGCCTCTCTCCGCCTGTCCTCAGACCACGCGAGGGGTCCCAGTGAACAAGTTAATCTAACATTAAAAGGTCCTGCTGTACGTGGCTCGGCGGTGTCACTCCGAGAGATTGGGCGGCTGAAAGGCGGGACCCACGCTTCCCGCAAGCTCCAGGTCACGCCCGGCTCGGGCTCGGTCTCCGCCAGCCAAGCACGAGGCTCCTCAACCCGACTCACCGTTGACACGAGGCCTCCGACCTGTGTGAGCTTGCTGATGGCTTCGTAACACGCCGAGGTTTTACGATTTGTGCCGGGATAATTTGGCGTGTGGCCCAAATAGCCATCGTGGGGTCGCATGAGTGGTGTGCCCGGTGGCCGGGACACGTGGCGAGAACGGCCCAGTGAGCGAGTGCGTGTAGAATCCCCCCCCCCCCCCCCCCCCCCGCCACGGTGAGTCCAGATTCAGCGGATGCTGGGCCCACACAGAGGTGAGGGGAAGCAGGACTGTGGTTGAGGAAAGAGCTGTATCCGGGAAAAGGCTCAAATCTGTGAAGTGAGTGGTCACCAATTGGCTTGCTAAGTCGTCTTATGTCAGGTAAAGTGCAGGCAGGATCTTCTCCCCAAGGTCAATTCTAAAGCAAATCTGAGTAAGAAGACAAATCCTACCCCGCATATTCAAGTAACTGAGGTCATCGCGATGCCTTTGCTCAGTTCTGAGATGTGGCGACGAGAAGGTGAGGAAAAGCACCGTGTGGAGGCCCCGGGTACAAACCCAGAGCCGCGTCTGGGAGAGCAGCGCTTCCTAGGTGCCCAGAGCCTGGCCAGGCGTGCCCTCGCCTGCGTCTGAATTGCCTACGGTGCACACGCCGCTCCTGGGCTCCCCCCAAGGCTTCCTGCCCCAGAGCGCCCCGGGTCGGGTCGGAGCCCGGAAGTGTGCAATTGGAAGGCCTCCCCCTCGTCGGAGAAATGCAGACGTACCCACTCAGGGTAAGCAGTTCTGTGCTTTCCGGCGTGGTGACTGTTCATCCCGCGGACAGAATGGCCGGGGGAAAGGGAAGGCCGAAGGGGACCTCCGTCTAAGGAACGTGCCTGTGTGCCAGCCTGGTCACCAGCCCGGTCACCAGCCCCACCGAGAGAGCCCCGTGTCTATCCTGCACATTTACGGTTCACGACTAACACAAGCCTGAGGCCCATTTGAGTTTTGTAGGTTCAGCGCTTTTCCTACGAATTTCTTTTTGTACAAAGTGTTTTAGAAATTTTAAAACTCCTGTACAGACCCAGGGAAACTTCAAATTTCAATTCATATGGGTTTGATCAGATTTTACCACATGAAACGTTCGTGAACTGGCCGACTACAGTCACATGCTGCTGAAAGAGCCACCGCAGTGCGGTGACAGATTAAAAACGATCCCTCCAGAAGTGAGAAGGGCTCGGGGAGGGGGGGGAGGAGGGGATGGCGGAGACCTCACGGTAGTCACGGTGGTGCTGTTTCCTTCCTCGTTGGTTGGAAACTGGGTGGAGAGCACTGTATTTCTCCCAATCGTTAGGGAACGGAATCAAAATGTAATTGGAGTTCGCTATTTCCAAATACGCAGCTGAAACAGTTCCCTGCACTGGGGTACAAGTGGGGAGAGGGCGCAGGACCTTCCGGCAGGTTCTATTCCTTCCCAGCCCACGACTCAGCTTCGGGCCAGCCTTCTCCTAGTGAGGCCAGCCTCATCCACTCGGCGGAGCCCAGGGCCGACCAAGCGCTGGACATCAGTCGGTTCAAACGTGCTAAAAACCCGACGGAGAGAAAAGCGTGAGACCCACGCAGCAGGGGTGCTGGCTCTAAACCTGACTCCGCCTTTGGCTGACTGACTTTGGGGAAATAACTCCACGTCTCTGTGCTTTGGCTCCTCCGACTGTAAAACGGGGAAGCTAAGAATCCCTGCCTCCGGGGTCGGCTTTCTCTTTCCTCAGAGGAAACAGATGTAATGGATTTTGCTCACGGGAGACACTCCGTAAGCTGCAGGTACAACAATAGGAAACAAAACCAAATGTCCACCGTTGTCTCCATCTCAGAAGGAGCCATCAGGAAGTGAAGACGGGGCCTCAGGCCAGGTGTCTTGCGAGGGGTGTGGGGAACTTGGTCCATCTCAGCACACACGGGCTTTGCTCTACAGAGCAGTGGTTCTGCTGCTTTTCGGGAATAAATCACACTGTACAGGGACGCCCGCAGGTGGGTTTCTTGGGAATTTAGGGAACGGTGAAGCCGGTGCGCACTTGTTCTGCCTCCTCCCGAGGGCAGCGCTGAGGGCCGGTGGTCAAAGGCAAGCCAGGCACACGGGTGGGGGGCTGGCCCCTAGGACCCGGCTCAGGTATAGGAGAAAGGCCCCCTCCGGTGACGCCTTCAGATACTTCAGAGGCTAGAATTCCATAAACGTTTTCACTTCTGAACATAAAATCCCACAAGTGAGTTGAAACGTAAAACCCTGACAAATCAGAACCGTCACCTCACTCTGTTGACTGTGCTGTTGATAAGGCGTTTTTGGCTTTAGCGCTCCCATTATTGATATTGTCGGGCAACGTGGCAAACGTGTGATTAGAACAGGGCAGGGTGGGCTCAGTGCACGTGTCATTGGGCAAATAGCATGTTTCATGTATATCTTGCTTTCTGGGGGCTCACAGTCTCAAGGAAATCTTTGAGAGGTGACTTAATTGTTCGTTCATAATCCAAGAAGGAAAGGGGAATCCAAGGAGAAAGAGCCTAAACCTTGAATAAAATTGTGAATGCCAAAAGAAAGGTACATTTCCCCCGGGTCCGTCTAAGTGGCATCTGGACCCACAAATGGCCCCGTCTCCTGGGGAGCTGATGCCTCAACCGAGCCCCCTCTCCGCCACTGGTCTCTGCACAGCTGTGTGCCACCTCGGCGATCGCCAATTCGGGTTTTCGTTCGTCCGGAAAATACGTCCACTCGTGGTTTTAAGACCTTGATGTCCGAGTCTATGGATGACCCCTCTGGGCAGCTGGTTTTATGGGTGAGGCGGGGCAGAGCGCGAACAGGACTGTTCCTGGGGGTGACTTTGCAGGGTCTGGCCCTTGCCTGGTGGGCACAGCGGCAGGTGTGATCACGGGACTGAAATCTCTTCCAAGATGAAGCTGTCCCTATTGTTTGCAGACACCTGCCTCAATTACCCCAGAATCTCTAGCTGCAGACAACCAGGGCTCAGTCGGTGCAGCTGGGACAAACAGGGCTCAGTCAGTTGCACGGGAACAGGGTGGGTGAGCTTTCCACCCCCAGAAGTGCAGCGTTCCATGAGGCACCGGCTCTCTGTGTCCTGGGCAGGAGGTCAAGTGAGTTTACCCCGTGTAAGAGAATCGCACTTGGCACGTGAGAATCTTACCCGCTTGAGAATCGCATTAGCACCCGCATCGGCTGGTTTGTGACCCGGCTTCCTCCCAAGCGGGACGCATGCCCGAGGCTGCCCGTAAGAGCCACCTAACTGCATGTTTCCTTTTCTCAGGGAGGAAGAGACAGTCGTTCCGGATCACCCATGGCTAGACGCTGAAGCCCCGCCTCGTTGTTGTTATAGAATCCCGTCCTCAGCTTCTTAATATAACTGCCTTAAGATTTTAATACTGTTCACATAAATTACCTACTTGTAGCAAACCCCCCTTGCCTAATGCCCGTTGAGTTGTGCACACAGTAGGGGCAGGCACGCCGCATCCTACTGGCAATTTCTGGCCATCAGCTAAATGGAGAAAACGCAGACAGAAAATTAAACGGCGACTCTGAGTTTGAAGATAAACGCCCCGGGACTCTCATCCCCCTGCGACGCAGCCCCGCCGCACTGTGGTGCAGGTGCACGGCGCGCCTCCAAGTTCACCCTCCGTCCTCGGACTCGCTTTGCTGACTCGGCATCCCTCGGCTTCCCGGGCACTGCCGTGGCGACGCTGCTGTGGACACAGAGACACGTGCGGGGCGGTGAGGACTGTTGATCCGAGCTTCCTTTGGTTTCTTCCCCTGCCCTTGCTCACCTCCTAACACACACTCACTCTCCCTCCAGGGTTAGGCAGTCGGGAGCGGCACAGGGGGCTTCGGTATGTGAAGTGCGGGCGGGCAGCTGTGGAGAGTCCCGTGTGGTGGGCGCAGAGGGGGCGCCTGCGGGGGCGGCTGCCCACCACGGCCGGCTGGCAGAATTCAGGCGTGGCGGAGAGGGGAACAGGGAGGCAAACCTGGGCCGGGCTGCGGCCCCAACAGGAAACAGGGTCTTCTTGGACATTAGGCGATGGCGCAGCGGGAGCCAGAGCGGCCCCCGCGAGCCGCCTGTTTCCCCCCAGAGCCCAGCAGGAGGGTCTGAGCGGGACTGGAGGAGTTTTCTGGGTGGCCTCACGGCGTCACCCTGGTCACTGCGGGAGGTGACCGGCGGTATGCTTACCACGGCACGGCACACAGCAGACACTAACCCTGGGAGGACGGGCAGCGTCCCGCCCACCCGCATCCCAGACACAGACGTGCGTAGTCGGTAGGCTTCGGAGGGTTCTCTTCCCGAATCGCTGACCTGGACGTGCGAGCAGAGGGGGACTCCTCTGAGCTGTGTCTCTTCTAACGCGAGCTGACCTTTCCCGTGCGCCCCTCCTAACATACTGACCCCACCTTTTGATTTTAGCGTATCTCTCACAGGCCTTCCAAAGAGCCCCACACCGGCACCCCCGCCCCCTTAGAACCCAGATGAGGAGTAGTGAGCGTAATCCTGTCCTAATTCCTGCTCGGTGTGGGTTTAATGTAGCGTCTATTAATACCTAGCCTCAATGATGAGAGGGTGGGTGGGGGGGGTAGAAAAAAGGTACAAAATTCCAGAAACAGAACCTCCAAATTGCTCAACACACACACACTCGACATCTTTGAGCCAACTGCTGACCGAGTGATCTCTCTTCGTGGCTACGCACCCTGTCAGCGTGCGCTGTGATGGGGGGGTCTCATGGAAAGTACACACTGTTCTTGAATATTGAAATAAAATAATAAACTTTTAATGATATTTGTACGGGTGTCTTACTTTATCTTTATTCTGGTCTGTGGACCGTGAGCCAAACAGAGCAAAAGTCGCGTCTCGGAGGCGACGTGTGACAGTGCTTCCTGAGCAGGGGCTGAGCCGCCGGTCAGTGCGTTATCACCGGACGGCTTCCCGTTAAGAGAAAGTGGAACACAGGTCATGGTTAGGGCACTGGTTTGCTCACTCACAAGGCAAAGAATTTTCAATTTGTCCCTGAACAGCCTGTTGAAGTATATTTACACTTTGTTGTTTTACCAGAGTGCACACCTGTTAACGTGAGCTGAAGAAACTCTGAGAAATTACTTCTTGCCACACGGAGACCTCAACGACCATAAGGGGTTTGGGAAATTTTGTGTGTTAGCTGCTGTGGGTTACAGAAGTTCTGTTTCCAAAAGATAAACCAAAGTTTTCACTTGTTTTGCTTTTAACTAAAATCCCGGACTCCCTAGTGCCTCAGCCATGAGAAACCGTGCACGCCTGCGGGTTAGCGAGGGAAGCCCCCCAACTCTGGGATGCTTGTGGGAGCCCTTCTCCAGGGGCCCCAGGCCCGCTGTCGTACGAATCCCCCCAAGAACGGACGGGGAAGCCGCCCTGCTCGGCCGGGACCGACCCCTCTCCTCTCCACCTCTGGGCCCAACCCTCAGACTGACGAATTGTGAAACTCATGCACAGATAGACACGTTGTGAAAATAGTGTTCTTTCAGGGGCATCTTAACGGACACGTAATACAGGTTTTTGAAACTAAAAAAATATAAGGGGGTGCCTGTGTGGCTCCGTTGGTTAAGTGTTTGGCTCACGGTTCCTGAGTTCAAGCCCGTGTCAGACTCGGTGCTGACAGTACTGAGCCTGCTTGGGATTCTCTCTCCCTCTCTCTGCCCGCCCCGTGCTCCCGTCCTCTCTCAAAATAAGTAAGTTTTAAAAAGCCGCACGAGAACACAGCATCACGTCCGTGATGTCTTGACCAAAGGTGTGTCACGAAGAAACGCTGGGGGAGAAAGTGGGGGACTGCCTCCTGCATGACCGGCCCGGTTTTCAGAAATGTCGCCGTGATGGGAGCCACGGCCAGAGGGGGTGCAGTTCCGACCCGAAGGTCAGGGTAGGTGGGAGCCTGAAGTCCTCTGTTGGTGTGAGGGCGGTACTGTCCGTGCCCTTCCTGTAACTCGTATGGAAGTTTGAAACCGCTTCAGAAATGCAGGGTTACACAGAAGGGATAAAGACGGCCGGTCATTATGGGGCGCTTGGGTGGCTCAGTCGGGTGAGCGTCCGACTTCGGATCGGTTCATGATCTCACAGTCCGTGAGTTCGAGCCCCACGTCGGGCTCTGGGCCGACAGCTCGGAGCCTGGACCCTGCTTCAGATTCTGTGTCTCCCTCTCTCTCCTCCTCCCCCACCCTTGCTCTGTCTCTGTCTCAGAAATAAACATTAAAAAAAAAAAGATGGTGGGTCATTAAACCTGAGAAAGATCACCCCAAGGGAAGCAGGAAAAGGGCGACGTGAAGAGCGCCCCGGGGCAGGTGGCCAGCTGTTGTCCCACTTGGCACAGAGCCACCAAGAAACTGGCGGACCTCACGTCAAGATGAGCTGCTCTGCCTGAGTCATAGGACCGTCTTCCCAGGGAGTGTGGTTACCAGGGTAACTTGGTTCTGATACTAGAGTGGCGGCATAGGACCGTGTCTCTTGATTGATCCAGGATAATGGAATCAGGGAAACGTGTTTGTCGGTAGAGAGTGTGAAGCAGTGTGTGTGGGTGTAGACAGTTTCCACATTTCACTTCTTCCTGAAGGACTAAAAAGAGCCAATACCTCAAAGGTACTACGTGACAATAACAGCTTCTCGGTGATGGGGACGGCATCGTGGATGGTGTGGGGTAAATTGGCCACTGACGTTTGTAATAAAAATTCCCATTCAGAGAGCAAGCCGAGCCAGGGACATTTCACGGCCTCCTGAGTGATCGGACGACGTAGCACCGGCAGCCGCGATGCATCTGAACTTCTCACAAGACGCCAGTTTCCTGGGCGCTGGCAGAGGGCTCCTGGGTCAGAGAGAAAGGGGGTGATCGGTCACAGCACCGGGGGAAGCAGGGCATCAGCCTCTGTGCAGATATCCCCACGCCCGACTCCCACAGGGCGACCCAAAGTGGGCCAGGTGATGCCCATACGCACAGGGCACCGTGGTGCAGGAGAGGAGCCCGGGCTTAGGGAACCTGGGGCTTTTATACAAGGCAGCCAGCTGGCCTGACCTGGCCCCAGAGGAAGACACGTCTTGATTAGACCGGTCAGGAAACAAGCATGGCTCTGCTCTGAAGATTCCCCAGCTCCAGAGTCCGCGTCCTACACGAACAGCCTCGGAAAGATCCTGGGTCAAAGGCAGAGAGCACTGTGTCCCAGGACGCCCAGGAACGAGGCACCTGCGGACCGTGGCCTCCCACCCATGACGGCTCATTAACTGAGAACAACTAACTTTATAGGTGAGGGGACAGGCCCCGAGAAGTTAACTGAGTGTCCTGACGACACGGTCAGCCATCAGCCCCAGGACCGGTTGACCCTGCCCCTCAGCTTTGCTGGCGCACAGGAAGCTTTGTGAACTCATGCCTTTGTGTTTGGACACAAAGACTCTTACATCATCAGAGAGCCAAGCAGCCCGGGAAAATGCATCTGGAGAAGCGTTTTAAACGGAGACAACCACTGTTGTCTCTCTGGAAGAGAGCAGATCTTCCAGAATCTGGGAATTCTTTCTAAAAAGTCCGTTCCCCCCACCCATCACATTTTAAAACCTGTTAGAGCAATATTCCTCCGACAAACAAGAATTGTCAATTTCTCACCATTCCCTCTGATATAAGTCCAGGAAAGGAAACCCAAAATCATTTTAGGTAGTTCAGTCCAACAAGGTATGGAGCCTCCCTCCACTCTGTGCTAGGAACAAGGTGCACAGGGATGTCCCCAGTTTGTCGTCTCAACAGGACAAGGACTTCATAAACCTCCAACTTCTAAAAGTCTGCAAATATATCTTTACTTATTTAAAGTTTATTTACTTATTTTAAGGTAAACAGAGACTGCTGAGCGGGAGAGAAGCAGAGAGAGAGAGAGACAGAGAGAGAATCCCAAGCAGGGGCTCGAACTCACGAAGCCGTGAGATCACGACCTGAGCCGAAACCAAGAGTAGGACAATTAACCGACTGAGCCAGCCAGACGCCCCTGGAAATAGATCTTTAAATAGAGGATTAGATGCTATAATATAAACGAACTCCACTGGTGTTTCTGAGGAAGTCTAACACCCCACACAGCTCACGAACAGACACAGTGATACCGTGATGGCATTTCATTTCCTTGTTGTTACTCCCAAATACCTTGTGAGAGAGAGAAAACGAACAGTTATCCTCAAGGACAGAAAAGAAGACCCGTTCACACTCTTCAAACCCCATGGATCTCAATTCATTGCAAATCCAGCGTCGCTGTGTTGGGTTAACCCTTGCTGAAAACGCTACCTACAGAAAACATCCATCTTTAAAACAGTCGTAACTCACCCCAAACCCAAAAAATGTAAATATACAGGAGCTTTAAAATAATACCAGAACTATTTTTATTCTTCTTAAAGCCAGCACAGTGGCTTTTGGCAGAACTATCCATTTCTAATACAAAATTGGATTAAATAAATATTATCCAATGTATAAATAGACCATGGGACAATTTTGAAGGGTAGAAAAAAAATTCTTCTGTAAATAAAAAAAAAAATTTATTTTTCTTTACTGGTGAATCAAGAGTGAATCACAATGTCATTGTAGGATTTGTCAAATAGATCACAAACCTTGATTTAATACAAAAGTCTTCATGTTGTAAAGCATTACATGTAAAAAAGATTAAATAGCAAGATTTCTTAAGGTTACTGCCTATTGCTCCTGCCACGTAATCTTTATGTTTTTTAGTGCTTCAAATAGTTTATTCATCATCCATGAGAACCTACCATAGCACCTCTATGTAAAGGGCAGGGGTATGACAGGGACTGCGAGCTCATCTGTGTGTGTGTGTGTGTGTGTGTGCAACACAAGCGCACATGCCTCAGGAAGGGCAGTCCATTCAGATGAGGTCAACAGTGACCAAGAGAAACTTGACTTACAAAACTTACCAAGGCGAAGAAAACGTCTTTACCAGAGATGCGCAGACATGGCGGGTTGGCTCCACTTTTTAAACAGTGAAAATGAAAGCAGGTTTTAAAAACCTGATTTTCATTAGGATAAGGCAAAGATCTAGAGGCCCCGGATGTCAACACCTTTGAAATTCTGTTCTAAAAAGCCAAACCCCTACGTTGCATGAATAGGGATTCAGTGGCAAAAAGAGAAAAAAAAATCTAGATTACTACAAAGCGCCAATTATATAATTTCATCTCTGCCTCACTTTACATAGATTTGAGAAAAAGAATACATTAGCAATGACCAACCCTTGGATTATTTTTTTGGTGGTGGTGGTGGTGGTGGGGACACAATAATGATTTTGAAATAAACTTCTGGGGAAAAAAAAAAAAAGACAAAAAAGCAGGCATGAGAAGTCTCTAAGAAGAACACCCAGAAAGCAGACCTACGTATCTTACCTATCTTTTTTCAAAGGTGTTACTTACAGAAATCTGAGTGATCATTTAATGTCAAAAGCGTGCACCTTCACGAGTTACGGATATTTGTCTGCGAAGAACAGAAACCTACTCACACTTCTAAGAAAACCTTGTACCTGTACCAGTGCAAGCATTTCTGGCACATAAATGCTCCACGGGAGGTTCAGAGGAGATGGGAGAACTGGGTATAATCGTGGAGGCCAAGCTCACATTCCCTTACAGGCAATGGGGCAGGGAGCACAGGATATCAAACTAGAGTCGCTGCCCCATTCAATGTCGCACTTGCTCGGAACAGAAACCCGAGGGGGCAGTCAGTGGGAATTCCTCGTTAGGACAGACGGTCCCGTCCCATCCGCATTGGACGGCGGGGGGTCAGGTCTGCACCAAACAGCCAGGCAGGCATCTCCCCCAGTCCCTTGTGGGGTCTGCCCCCCCCGCCCCCCGACCCGTGCAAGCACTGGGGGACCCACAGAGGAGGGCCCAGGGTAGGGACACTTCGGTTTACATTTCTGAAGAGATGTTTTTATTTTACTCTATTGTTCTGGGAAAACAGGACCACCCTTGTGTCCTCCAGGGGACGGGACCCTACGCCCGCCACACCCTGGCTGCCTGCCCGCCCGCCCCAGGAAGCATCCCCTGGTTCTCAGTGTCTGTGCAAAGGCAGGTCACCCTCTAGGCTCACGTGAGTGCTCCCGGACCCTCCCCTCACCACCAGAGTGGGTTCAGGACAGTCACGCACTTTCCAGAGGGACCCAAGTGACCAGGGGATTGTCTAAGGTGGCCAATCATGAAGACAACGGACAACAGGAGGGACATTCATAGCTCACATGGATGGTGCGCCTGTCACTGACCCACATCCTGATTTGTGAGGTCTGGAGCCCCTCAGAGGGACCTTCCAGGGGGTTAAGTCCTCGTCGTCTGGCCTTCACAGAGGGAAAAGGAAAGATCGCTAAAGTTCTGCTCTGTTAAAAATGATCTGAACTTGAAATTAATTCATGTGCCAAACTATTACGTATTAAATACTTTAAAAGAAAAAAATTAATCACACTTCCTAACTTCATTTTTTATTTATTGTTATTCCAAAGCAGGTACGCTATGAGGAGATATTTCTAAAAATACAGTTATCTGTTCTCAAAACCCTGGTTATGCAGGAGGCTAGAAATCTCTTGTCAGAAGACATTTATTAACCAGTAAAATATAAAGATCAACCTGTACTCCACCAAAGGTTCAAGTGAAATTATGTCTTTACAAAACCTTATATTTTCAAGGAATGTTTTGCAAAGAAGCAGCTTTTATAACTAGGAAGTAAATAAAAATAATATATTAATGTCTTGTGTTTGCCTGCTGAGTTAATAAATCGAGAAAACTCACAAAATGAATTATTGATAGATTGTTCCTCATTTTCTTTGACGAAAATAAAAGTAGGCTTTAGATTCACCTGGTAAGGCCTTACGTAAACAGGCAATTCACCAATACAGTTCACTGAACTACGCTTTCTGTACAAGTAGGAATCAAACCCTTTTAGACACTGTCCTGAGAGATGACATTTAATGCTACAAACCAAAATAAATAACCTAGCGAGAACAAAATTTTTTAAATGCAATAATTTCAACTTTGGAGATCTCTGTTCACCAAAATTAATCAACATTTCTAAAATATTTTAATACAAAATTATAAAAGAAAAGTGCATTAAAAGCAGAATCTTTAAAACTCTGGCACAATTACAATTATTCTGAATATATGGACTACTGCCGGTACACAATGACATTCAAGGAGAACCTCAGGATATAGAAGTCCAGTATCACAAGAATAAGTCAAATAAGGCTTTTTTTTTTCCTTAAAAAAATATACAATACACAAAGCAGTTTGAAAAAAAAGTAATATTATTTAACAGTTTTCTGACTTAAATATTTTCACATAACAAAAGTTTTTATATCACCATCAATATTACTTATATACATATGCCCAAAGTGAACAACAACAACAACAACAAAAAATCAAAAGATGCCCTTTGAAAAAATAACAGTGAGAATGTCTCTTTCTTCAGGAATCTGAAATGAGCCCGTCTCTTAATATACAAAGTCCATACAATATTTATAATAAAACTGCTCTCTTCTGAAACCAGGGAGGCAATGAGAGAAAATAAAAGCAATTATTTTTCAGGAAGAAAAAACCAAAAGCAAAGCAACCCCACCTTTATGTTACAATGAAAAGATACCCATTTGTGAATATAACAAATACAATACTGATCTGAAGTGCTCGCAGGGAGCTAAAAACTCTGACGCTCTCTCTGGAATCTGGGGACTAGAGCTTCTATTTACAAAATATACTGTTCAGCCACACAGAGGCCCATATATCTGCGTATGTACATATGTATTTATATATAGAACATATAAATAACTTTGAAGGAGAAATTCACATGAAGTAAAGAACTTTCCATCTTTGGAATGCTGTGGGAGCAACGCACACTGCCCCCCGCACGGGGTGGGATTTGGTTTGGGACGTGTTCAGTGTGGCACCATTGATGATAGTAAAGAATTCCCTGAAATAAAAAGTACACCTGCTTATGCGTGAAGAGAAAGTCACGGGGCTCGCACGGTCCTTACCTTTAACCTACAAACGCACCTCTCAGGCGTCGGGGTGGGCAGGGCCACGGCGCCCTCACTCCCGGGAGCCAGCTCTGCCCTTCCCTGCTTGTGACGTATGGCTTGTGCTTTCTGCAACCGTCTGACCCGCGCACCTGGATGTCGACTAAAGAAGCAAGTGCGGCCCCTCCCGCGAGGACGGTTTAATCCTTCTCGGCGTCGGGTTTACAGCCCCCCACGTTTCTGCCCCGATGCTGTGTTCCTGTAGCTAATGATTAGACAAACGTAATGCGGAGAGAACTGGTCCAGCCGGCTCTCAAGGAACTAGTTAGATTAACTTACGGTAGACCAAAAACAGTCCATTTCTAACTTCGAAATGCACAGAGGAAAAGAAATGGAAAAAACTTCCCTGTGTGTTCTGACTTTTTTCGAACTTCATGCACCTATTTTATGTGTGTTTTATAAGCTCTGCTTCTTACAACAGAAAGCATGAAGGAAACTATCTTACTTTTTCCATGGTAACTTTCGTCTTTGCCAATACAAAGACGTCACACCACGAGGACAGTGAGATCCAGTTAAGTTCTGTTTAACTAGATGCACTGGCCGCCGAGTAGAGGGGGAAACTACCTATCGTAGTACCTGAGCTCAATGATTCGTAGACAAATGACGGCACCGCGTTCACACCGTCCCCGGTTTTTTCCTCTCAGTCTCTGAAAGACAATGATTCTTAGATAATTTTATAACTGAAACACCGCGGTGGTAACATCCTTGACACTTGGAGCTTCAACACGGACACTCCAAGCGCTCTGTTCTTCCGCGACACGCGACGCGAGGGACGGCCCTCCAGGCGGGGACGGGTGCGTCAGAACACACCGGCCAAGGCCTGCCACTCGCTCGCGGCCTCCTGCACCACGTCTTCCAGCTGGAGGGTGCGGCTCAGCTCCTCCGCTCCGGGCTCCTGCGGGGCCACGGGCTCCTGCACGCTTCCTGCAGCACAGACGGGAAAGAGCAGGCGGGGGCTGGGCCAGCGGCACACGGCTACTCACCTTTACACAGAGACGATTAAACAGAGACCAGAGATCTCTAAATTGGTTTGCTTTCCGTCCCACTGGAAAAATCATTTGAGCTGCAGCTTAAATAATTATGGGGGTGACAACTTCCGCTCTTGGAATGTGAATGAACGGCCCTTGCCGTGCACACTCGCTGCCGGACGATTACGTCAACGCGGGCCGTGGTGAGCGATTAATCATGAATCCCACCAATACGGCGGGCGTGGCCTCCTCACAGGAGGAGCAGCACAGAATGTTTGTGTGACAACAAAGGCTCCCTCTCCGGATGCCCCGCCCCAGGTGAAGGCCCGTCCCGCTGGCTCCCGGACCCGCTGTCCTGAACAACCATGATCTCGAGACACAGAAGCACGGGCCGCCTGCACGTTTCCAGCTCGGGCCTCCCGCCCAGCTGGCAGTGTCCACGGTGGCCACGGCGAGGCCATGTGCTCCCCTTGCCTCCCTGGCAAAGCCAGGTGCTGTGCGGGCCACC